TTCGTAGTCTTTGAGCAACGACAGATGGTGGAATTATTTGTTGTACCTGTAGCGGTGGTATGTCGTTTACTACTTGCGCCTGTAGTGAAACTCTCCCGACCCTTTCCGTTATGCCGGGGAGAGTAAAGTTACTCCCCGTGATAGTGCACTTGGCTGGCACAGTTACTAAATACGTCCCGGCTTTCACTGTCACAGTGACGGGTTTGGAACGATGACATCGTTTGGTTAAATCCTCTCCCCATGTCTCGACAACATATTCGCCTACCATAATCTCGGTAGCTGAGGAGATTCCATCGCCGGAGGTCAGCTCGACCTTACAGGCACGCCGCTGTGCCTTATGTCCGGAGATAACAGCTCGTGAACAAAGCTGCGTTCCTCGTCTGTAGACGGCGCCTGTTCGGCAGACGAGAGGTTTCCATCCCTGGCAACCGCTAGGGTTAAACACATCACCCGACTTTTCAATCACGCCTATGTCGGTTTGCTCCAGCAACAATCGACTGGCAAAGCCGGAAGTGTTATAGGGTTGCCGAAATGTTTGAACGTTGTACCGTGTGGCCTCTTCCTGGCTCACTAACGGCAGTCTGGACCGGTAAATCAAAGTTTTCCCACCCCACACCGGGGAAACAGTGATATGTTGGTAGTACCATTGCAGCGGGCGGATGATTCTGCTCGACGCGTTGTTAGCTGCTTGGTTCAGAACGTCTAGGAGCATGGACGGAGGCAGGAGCTCTTCTGTCAACCGCCCTAGCTCTAGACTGGCTTTTTGTCTATTATATCTGTCGAAGGATATGCGGTAATCGTCCACTAGTTGTTCAAAAGAGTAAACGGCCTGACCTAGTTGGTGAGTTGCGTAAAGGCGGTTAAGTCCAGTTCTGGTTATGTTCGCTATTCTCTCCAGATCGTTAAAATGTGTCTTAACAGCGAAATTAAGATAATTAGAAATGTCATTGAGTCTCTGGTAGCCTTGGTTCATCGCATCAATCGTGTTATTCAGCACTGACACTAGTTGATTAACGCGATGCACTATAACCTTCTGGTGCTTCCTTGTATCTTCTATAATATTTTTACACTCTTGTACGTCCTCGTCTCGAGCTAATCCGAAAACATACTGACCGAGGTCAGCCGCGAAGTCAAAGAGTCCACGCTTATTTCGGTGGCCATTTCGAAATGAGCTAGGGTTCACGACTTCAGGCAAGTTTGTGTGGAAATTAACGGAACTGGTCATTTTTGAGAGAGAGTTTCTAGCTTTCTGCAATCGGAGAACAAGCTGGATTAAGTCCTTTTCTTCAATTTGATCGTTTTGATACATTCTGGTTATGTGCGATTGTAGCGTGTTGAGAGTTTTGTCCACCGGAGCGGTGAAAGTAGGTCTATCGATAGCGACGAGTAAGGTCCATTCAACTGTCTGGATTCTCATAGATTCGCGCCCCGTTATCAACAGTCCGTCTGATAACGGTTGGATGTCGGCCGAGTACGCTTGCTGGGCGATTACCATAATAAGGACTGGTATAATAGAGCCAATTCCATAGCCTCGTCGAGGTGGCGACGTTTGGGTGAACATTCGTCGTCCGACTCGGGCGGGGCTGGGGGTCTTTTCTGCTTTATATCCTTTAAATAGGGAAACTTTCGTCCCCTGGTGTCTGGCTGTTCGTTCCATTGTCGAACACGTTTCCTGTAGCGGGTGTTGTATTGATGTGTGGGTTCCTCTAATCGTTGATTGTGTTCCGTTAGTTGTTCCGTTTCACTGTCGCTCTCATCGGCGCTTGCTTCGGAACTAACGGCGTCGTCATCTGGAGTGGCGTTATTTATGTCCTTCTTATCTATCTTAATTGACGGAGTATGTATTTGCTTGTGATAAGGGTTTCTAAGTGGTCTCTTTTTGACGTCGTCCCACACCATATTTGGATCAACAAGGTGGAGTTTGTTTCGATTGACTGTAAGAATCTTTCCCGACTGTTGGTGACGTATTCGGTACACCTTTCCACGCTTGCTTATGATCTCGTACTGGGGATCCCACTGGCTGGTGAAAGTAAGACGCTCTTGTGCTTTTAGAATAACGGTATCTCCTACATTCAATTCCTCGGCGTTTGCTCGTGCATTCAGCCTCTGGCGGTTGTATTTTCGTGAGTTTTCCAAGTTAATCCTAGCTGTCTGCAACGCTTCACTCATGTCTTGTAAGCGCCCATTCAGCGGACTCGTATAAGGCGATGAGGTCAGTAGTTTCGTTAATGGCATTCTGGCACGGCGCCCATACATTAAAAAGTAAGGGGTGTAGCCGGTCACGGAGCTTACGCAGTTACGGTGTGCCATCAACGCACTTCCTAACTTCTCCTCCCATCGGTGTGGTTCGTTGTTCACTAAGCGAGCCAAGATCTCTTTAACGGAGCGATTGGCGCGTTCCGTCTTTCCGTTCGCTTCAGGTGAATAACTGGTGGTGCGTCTGTGTTCTACACCGACACTCTGCAGAAAATGTTCAAACGCCTTAGAACAGAATTCCATTCCTCTGTCCGTTATAATTATTTCCGGAAATCCAAATCGAGGAAAGAAGTCTCTAGCCAATGCAGATTCAACGGCTTGGGATGTTTTATTTGGAATAGGATAACTTTCTACCCAACCTGATAAGTGGTCAATAAGATTGAGACAGTATTTATTTCCATTAGGTGATTCCACAAATGGACCAATGAGATCCATACCGACTATTTGGTTAATAGCCGTCGGTAGGGGCATTTCTCCATATCCCGTGCGTTGTTGTCTCGGAACATGTACCTTACATGTGGAACAAAGTTCCAATTGTCTATTGACATCAGCGCGCATTCCCGGCCAGACATAACTCTGCCGTATTTTGTCTAGGGTTTTGCCTGTTGCGCAATGTCCAACTTCCGCGTGACACCTTCTTATCACGTCTTCGCGATAAAGTGACGGGAGTACTAAGCGTGGGTAAATAGGGCTGGTACTTGTCGGTCTCTTAATGGAATATAAATGTCCACTCAATATTTCATACTCCGAATCTTCATTCAAGGCCAACTTGAATTCTTCTTTGAATTCAGCCTCCTGTTCACACAGAAGCTCCTTAGGGTCAATATCGTCTGCTTCGAGCGGCATACGCTGTAGAGCGAAGTCATTAGGAATGCACTCAGGGTCGATCCAGTAAGATGTGTCAAACGTGGCTACTTTCTCCGGAGGCGGATTAGGTAGCCGACTCATTACATCGGCCCTGATATTTTTCTTTCCCTTTATGTATTCTACCTTGGCTCCGAATTCTTCCATCAGAATTGCCCAACGTTGGACCTTCGTGTTCCGCAGTTCTTTAGTAAAGATTGACTTTAGAGGCTTGTGATCAGTGTACACTGTCAATGGACAGCCGTATAAATAAGCTCGCAGCTTAGATATACAGTAGACCATTGCATATGCTTCTTTTTCAATAACCGGCCATCTCAGCTGCGGACCGGATAGGCTGTGAGAGACGTATTGCACGACCCTTTCGACTCCCTCTTCATCGTCCTGGACTAAGACGCCTCCGACGGCATAGTCTGACGCGTCAACGTACAGTTTGTAAGGCTGATCGAGACGCGGATATGCCATTACATTGTTCGAGCATAGCAATTCCTTTAACTTGTCGAAACTTAGTTGCTGTTCGTCGCCCCACGTAAAACTTTGTCTCTTTTTTAGAAGGCGATAGAGGGGTTCAGCAACACTGGCGAAATTCGGAATCGTGCGGGCGTAGTAATTGCACATGCCTATGAATGCTCGAACATCTTTCGTGTTTCGAGGTGCTGGTAGTTTATTAATGGCGTCCAGTTTTTCAGGGTCGCTTCGTACCCCATCTTTAGATACGATATATCCCAAAAGTTTGACCTCTTTCTTAAGAAAATCACATTTGGAGGGTTTTATTTTCAATCCGGCTTTATCTAGTTTGTTTAGCACTTGAGATAAGTGCTCTGCATGTTCCGTAGTGTTTCTAGAGAATACGATTATGTCATCCAGATAGACTAGAACACACTGTCCGATTAGGTCGTTCAAAACATAGTCCATGGTACGTTGGAAGTATGCTGGCGATGTAGCAAGGCCAAAAGGACAACGGGTAAATTCGAAAAGCCCTTTATGGCAGGTAAAAGCAGTTTTTGGAATATCGCTCTCGGCCACTGGACACTGCCAATAACCAGCTCTAAGATCAATAACACTAAAGTGGGTCATGCCACTTACCGAGTCTAGAATGTCTTGTATCAACGGCAATGGGTAAGTATCACGGGTGACGACTTCATTCAGTTTTCTATAGTCTACACAGAAACGAGTGCTCCCATCCTTTTTAGGAACTAACGTGACCGGAGATGCCCAGGGTGAACAGCTAGGTCGAATTATTCCTAGGCGAAGCATTTCCTTTATCTCCGATTCCACCACTTTACGTTTAGATAAGGGAATACGGTAGGCACGTTGCTTTATTGGCTTAGCCGTTCCTGTGTCAATCTTCATCGCTGGGAGGTTGCATTTGCCATGTGGGTCTCCATCCACGCTAAAAACGCTCTCGAATTTGGTTAAGATTTCATCCACACATTTAACTCCAGTTCGAGGAGCCTTTGGTGCCACTGCGGTAAGACTGCTAACCGGCCGTCTGCCTCGATATCGAGTTAGAGGCCACTGACGCCCACACCAATGTAGAACGTTATGACGATAATCAATGACACCCTTGTTTTTCTCTAAAGCGTCGTTTCCAATTATCATGTCATAGTCCACTTTGTCGGCGATTAAAACAGTCACCACCGCAGCGTTATCAATCCTAACCTGCGTTTTTCCGATGATGGGCACAATATGACCTGTAACTCCGTAAGTAACACTAGTAGGCTGTACTAATCTTGATCTTCTAATTTCTTTGCAAATAGTCATAAATACCTTCTTGTGCAAGAGACTCGTGCTGGCTCCCGTGTCAATCAGGGCATGGCACTTTACACCTGATATCGTTATGTCTACAGCTACTCGGGGGTCAGTCACGTCTCCTGCACTGGCTAGTTTTTTGTGTCCTTCTCTCGCTTTTGCTGACCTTTCAGCTGGTAACATTCCCTCTTCTTATGGCCTGCTTTACCGCAGTGAAAGCATAAGGGAGTTCCATCGTCAGCCCATCCTTTGCTTTTATTCTCACGTCGCACTGTTTCCCATTGGCGTGGTTGTTGCGGGCGGCGTTGAGAGGCACTCATTTTCTCTAGCTTTAGGTTGGATACCTCTTTAGTCAACTTTTTAATCTTTGACTCGAGGCGCTCCATGGGGTTGTCGGTGGAGTTCAAAGCCACTTCCATTGGCTCCTCATGGCGGGGTTCTAGTCCTACGACATTCTCAAACAATTGCGCGCCGACCTCCGCGTTGTCTACAAACGTGAGAGCCTCGTTCAGGGTAGCGGGTCGTGCGTCGGCCACAAGCCTGCGTGTGAGTCGTCGATCACTGAGGCCACGCGCATAGGAAATTATCAATTGTCGCTCGGCGTCGACAGATCGAGGCTCGGGGTATGCTTTCCGGGCGATGTTCCTAAAACGCCTGCTGTAGGCGGCGCAGTTTTCATACGGCGTTTGCCGTATTTGTTCTATTTCTGTCCGGAGACAGGCTGCCTCGTCAGGGGACAGGAACGAGCGGCGGATGTGGTCACGGAGAGTCACCCAGGCGGTGCCATAATAATCATTTTGTCGACGGAGGCAATAATCAACCTCCGCCGCTAGGGCACCTCTACTGGTTTTCAGGGCCAACCTGGTCGCACAATTGGTAATATTGCCCTGGCCCCGGGCGATCGCTCGCTCCATTTGATCAATCCACTCGCGTGTTTCTGAGGGGACTGTCCCATCGCAAGGATGAAACAAATCGGACAAGTCTTGAAGAGAATGTCTCTCCCTTTCTTCCGCCCAGCGGAGTCCCTGTCTCTCGGCTTCCACTTGTCTCTGTTCTGTCAGTCCACGGATGTTCTCTATCAACGAGTGGAACTGTTCCTGAGACATTTCTTCTGGTGTTTTCTGTCCTTTTCCTTCAATTCACTGAGTTAAAGTCCTGGCGAGCTCGCCACTGTAAAGTTCGTGACTTTACTTGTTGAATAACGCAATGTAAGGTGCCAGGCCCGGCCGTACGAGTGTTGCGGTACGGGCTTAGAAACTCAGCGAATCGGAAAGTCAAGAAAATAAGAACGGCACTTTGCAGTTCTAATGAATTTAATAAATCAAAGTTAATCAATGACCGGGGAATACCCACGGCGCGAATGCGACTGAGTTACCAAGTCTTAACTTCTGACTTAAACGCAAACGCGGCCGAGGAATATTCCCCTACAATAATCGAACGTCTCACTTCTCTGAGATCAAATCAACGAATTAATTTTACATAGAGTTTGATTCTATTATGAAGACCAATGCAGGTGTGCTCCCCGTATCTGCCGATTTTATGACCACTTCATCGTTTCTGGACATGGCAGATAGGTGATCAATAAGTCATTTGATCCTGGACGACAACGCTTGTACTATCGTCAATAAATGTTCAATTTGAGCAAATACTAATTTTGAGAGTTAATCAAGGGCCCAGGTGTGCGCACTAATAATGACCTCATAAATTCCTGAAGTGGGTCCTGAATGATGTGTTTGATCCACCATAAACCGATGACGCATGCACATCAATAATCAAAGATACAATTGCATAATTAAATATAATAAAATTAGCATTAACTTTACAATGTGTATAGCTACGTTATACTGGTTTGTTTGGCAGTATAAACCTTTTTATCAGAATTTTAGAAATAAGTGCAAGTTATTATTCCAATTTTTTGGACTTTTCTTGATCAAACCCAGACATTTCTGATTTTATTCAATATATCCGTTATTTTATAAATATTATTTGTAGGTGTATGACCAACAGAGTACTGGCTGGGATGAATTTTTCAGGAAAGAAAAATAAATTTCCGTTTGGGCACAGCAACTTCTGTACGGTGATCAAAGGTAATTAAATTAATGTTGCAATTTGCTTTACATTTACTGCTGTAATTTGTGCCTGATTTGATTTTTATAATAAACTTATCTACCTATCAGCTCCAGTTTGGGCAGCTAAGCCTAAAAAAAAAGTTCTTACATTTTGCACCCTAGTTGGAATTTAACACCCAATCTTAACCTCATTCTTAGAATCCCTCAGTGAGCTTTGATAGGCACACCTGCCAGCGTACGTTCGATACATATATGCTTACATTTCTACTTCACTTTTTTTCCCAGATGTCATGATGTCAAGATGTAGTTGTACGGAGAAGGAAGTCTCCGACAGCATCGTTAACTATTCCGACAGCATCGTTTACTATCTAAAATGGGCACCAGAAAGAAAAGATGGAGATGGAAGAAAGTAACAATTAATTAAGAACTTGAACTATTATTTTGGCCTTGTGATGGACATTGCTGGAATACTTACAGTAATATTTCTAAATTGTGGAGTTTATCAGGTTGCACTCATGTCTGTCGTGTGTATATGAACCTCATCTTCTACATCTTGTTGCACAAAAATTGACAAACATTTATCAAAGCAACCACGACAGCCATTTCTTTCTCTCTAACTTAACTGCACATGCGTCAAGGAGTCAGAATCTCCTCCGAGCGCAGACGAGAATTAATTAGAGCTTTGAAGTAAGTAACTCGCTCCCTCTACAATTTTGTTCTGTTGTCATACATATACAGTGTTTTGACAATGTTGGTTGACTTTTAACTTGCATAGTCCTGAAGCCCAGTGCTTGTTTGAATTTATTATCACTATGTTGTACACTGTGTATATTTTAACTACTTTAATTAGTAGCATTTTTTCCTTTTATGCAGTGACAAAATAAAGACATTGAAAATGCTATTTGTCTCAACTTTAAATTAATGTGAAATCAACAGTTAATCAATGCTAAATCAACATATAAGCAATGCTAAATCAACATATAATCAATGTGAGATTTCTAATGTTGAAACAACATTGAACTATCAATCATGATTCAGCGTTGAATGCCAACGTTGATTCAATGTAATTTTTCAACGTTGACACAAATTTCCACTTTCAATAATAAATTCAACAAAAATTCAACGATGTGAATCAATGTTGAATCAACATTGAATCAACTGTTGTGTGCCTGCTGGGTAGTTTTTGGTGGTGATCCGGATCAATAATCAATCAATAATCAATAATAATCAAAAATCGCTGCCTTGGCAGAGGTCTGCTCTCTCGGAGTGCTTTTCTAGTTTTAAACCCCATGGTCACATCGTAACTAGCGTCACTGGCACAATCACTTAAAAATCATCAAGTATGTATTATACTATCATGCAAGTCCCTGCATGGGCACTTTATCTTCATTTGCTCGCCTGCAAGATTAAATTATTCGAAACGTATAAAATAACATGACATTCTATTACATTCTGTAATCATGTACAATTTATCAATCAGACAACAGTGCAATATGTCATGTGATCTGACACGCTTTTTAATTACCATTACATATAAAATAAGTTGAAAAAATTGAAAAGAAAAGTTTACCTTATTTGATTTTTATGTCTCAAACATTATTCACGTATGTTGTACTTACCCATCAGAGAGATATAATCTTATCAATCCAATACTACTTTCCATAAAAGAGAGAAAAACTGAACTATGAACCCACAAGTTGCATATCAAAATTTATTTTAACAATAAAGATAACAAATTATACAAGATATTTTGAAATAAATTTTATTTCCTCTTTTGAGGATTCTAGTCTCTGTGAGTTAGGAATGGTCAGGCATGCACACATCCATGGATCATACCATGGATCAACAATTACTTTACTAGCAGATGGCAGCTAGAACAGTTCCACACATAACAAGCATCGCATATTGCGAATCGCTATATCAAATAGAGGCTACAATGATTTATATGGGACGAGTATGGGCGAGTTATTGAATCGAGACTCTTGCGCACAGTCGCAACATAGCGAAGCTTTCAAGATACGGGGCCCTTGTCTGTCCTAAACCACCCCTACAACAGTGGGGCAATCATTTCAAGTCAGGAGAGAAATGCCCTTTTGGCCAAAAAAGATCCATTCTGATGTAAATTGCATTTTGGTTTGATGGTATATCTCATACGTTGTCTCAACTAAGTGGTCAAAAAGACACTTCTTCAAATAAGAAACCCATCTTTCAAATTGTTGGCCACATGCCTGATCGAAGCATATGCACCCAAAAATACAAATATTTTTATTTCATGAATATAATTTGATATACCATCACAGTTCATACTGGTTTAACATCTAACGTCAGCTTAATGTTCATGGCTGCCAGTTCCGCAACTAAATACTTGAACACAAATGGGATGGAGATTTCCACAACTGAGTCTTTTCTACCACATATTTTGCACACCCAGTGGCGGGCAGCTTCGAAGGAAGCAGCTGCCAGAGCGGAGGGTGGCTTCTCCATCTGAGCTGAAAGCAGGCTGCCACATTTGGTGCACACTCGTGCCTGGAAAGATACAATGTATCAGAAATGTGATTTAAATATAAATGTAAAACTGTAATAATGATTACTTGTTCTTGTATGCTACTGCTTGAGTGAATGTCTTATCTGATAGTATACTGATTACATGGGTGAGAATAACTCTCATGGCTTCAAAAGACTGCCTAAATATTTTGATAGAAAATATTATAATGTAAAGTATATGTTTTGATTTCTATAATGACAAACCTTAAGGTGCAAGCATTATTCATAATATGTGAAAGGATATAATAATAATAATAATAATAATTATTATTATTATTATTATTATTATTATTATTATTATTATTATTATTATTATTATAATACTAGCATCTCATAGTTGTGAGTATCAAAAAACAAGTTAAATCCAACTAAATATTACCATGGTCTTGTCTGAGCAGTTAACCAGCCTGTCCTGTAGAATGAAGGCAGTCCCCAATGACAAGATGGCATCCCTCTCCATCTCTCCAAACCTCACCCCACCTCCCTTCTTTCTTCCTTTCACAGGCTGATGTGTCAGCTGGTCAATGGGTCCTGTCGATCTCACCTACAGGAGAAACGACACAAGCGCTTTCATTTTTTTAAAATAATTATGGACAAATTAACGAATAAAATTAGTTATGATGAATCTTTTAAAAAAATTTCTTTTAGCTGTTCACATCTCCTAACCAATCAGGATTTGGATGAGCATCCATAAGATCTTACAAATTAAGACAGTGTATGTGTAAGAGAGTTGCTGACGATGGACCTGAAAATATCAAGCTTAGGGAAACTGTCAGCTCTCAAACAAAATTTCTTGAAGCATTGAGGACATGAACATTATATATCAAACAATTTATGTGAAGCCATGAATAAGTTATCAGTCAAAATTTCTTTGTAACATTTCGATCACCCTGAAAATAAATCCTTAATTTGAAGACTTTGTTTTATCTGAAACACTAGGTTTAAGCCTTTGCAGCTTGTCTGACAAAATGATACAGGAAACAAAATCATTAAAGAAAATTAGTTGTTCGAGTCATTTCCACATTCTCTCTTGAAACTGTCTGAAGCCACTATATAAGATGACAACATGTTGAAACTTGTTTCTTGAAGGAATAAAGTTACCTGGAACTTGTCTGACACCATGTGACGCAGCCTTTGATAATACACGATGCCAAAGAAGATGTCTGCCTCGAACTCCCTGCCATCTATGCCGCTGTACATCCTCTCTGTCCCGAAGTAGTTGTACCCAGCTGAAAGATGGAGTAACTTGACCCATTGCAGTAGGAAAACAACGTGATAAAAAGGCTCTGCTTTAAATAATTAGCAAATAAATCAGTTACAAGACAATAATAGTATGGCTTGATCTATAAACATTTCTGAAAACAACTTGAAAGCAGTCAATTTTTTCTTTGGGAAACATCTTATTTGGTAACAATTCTTAGCAGTCTTATTCAAGAAAAGTTTTTGACTTCATTTCTTTTGCAAAAAGGGTTCTTCCCTCAGTGGGAGCCAACTTTACCTGCTGTTAAAGCTCTTCCAAAGTAATCTATAGCTGGATTCTCTTCCGAGAAACAAAATGGTGTGGAATCGTGGCACAGTCCATGGAGAGCTCCAGATTTCCCTGCCATACTCTCTATCATCATACCTTGAAGAAAATGACAGATTAAAAAAATTGCTAGCCGAAAGCATGGTTATTGTTTACAGCACAAAGACAAGTATCATAGAATTATTTTTAATTTGTTGATCAATTAACTGAAATGTCCAAATGTATTTTGAAAGACGTTTGGCAAAAATGGAGAAAAACTGCAGTCCCATCCACCATTTTCCTGGACATTATCATGATCAACAGAAACGTCTGAAATTGAGTGTGTGTAAACTACTGAGACATACCTATTGTCATACGAGAGGGAAATCCGTGGGGGTTAAACAGGATATCGGGCGTCATCCCACTCTCAGAGAACGGCATGTTTTCATTGGGCCACTTCTGGCTGTATGAGATATAATAACAATAACATATAATAATAGTAGCACAAATAAGTACTGTATAAATTAACATATTTATTTTTGAGACATTCATTAGAAAGAATGGAAAAGCCATTTGCTTTCAATCAGGCTCCTAAAAATCATCAAATAATAGAAAAAATACAGTTTAAACAATCCATAAAAATTGTCATGTGTAGAAATATTCAAAAAGGGTCACATAGTTTTGTCACAGTGTTAATACTTGTTAATCTCAGGTAACTATCACTAGGAAATAACCTCTAGCACTACACTAATAATAATACTAGTATATATAATATTATAACAATAAAGAATAAAGAGGCCTGTTATTAATCCATACCTGCAAATTCCCTTCTGACCATGACGACTAGCAAACTTGTCTCCAATGATGGGATTTCTCTGGGGGAGAAAAACAAAACCATAACTTTATGGGTCATGTCACTTGATTAGGACTATAAATATGAAAAAAATATCATGATAATGTTTAGTTATTTGCAGTCATTTTCTATGGTAGATGATATGTAATTCATCACTCACCACTATCCTGAGACATATACAAATTTTCTGCATCTCGTCAGTGCCGGTGTCGTTCCCCAGGACCTTGATGTGGTCCACGTAGGCCGCCTCCTGACTTTTGTACAGGGTCACCCTGGCCTCTCCCGTCTGGACATTGATGTAGCTGAAAACACACAGTACTGATTTAATATATTATTAATACTACGTTTCTGTTGGTCGACGTCTAGTTGAGTTTTGTAAGTATGTTAAATCTAATACTGGACTTAGAACAGATGAAATAACAAAAACTGAGAAAAGTTCATCTGTATTCTCAGTAGACTGGATACAATTTTTTCAGGAGCCCATAATATCATTATCATCATCATCATTTTCATCACTAACATTATTACCATTATGATCATTATTATATCTAGAGGATCAGAGAGGCGATACTGCCTCCGGATATTGTACCACCAGCTGGAGTAAGCGTTTTCTCATGGAAACCCCTGCAAAAAAGGGGCACCACCACCAGTCTTGACAAGCTCTATAAAATGCAATCAACAAGAGTTCTCAAAATATGAAAAAATATATATTTATAACTAAAAATAGTACAATCATGCAGAATTTCGAATTGACCTGCATTTTCCTAACATTGATCACTCCTGTGATTCTCTAGACCATAAGCCTATTGGTTTTCCTTGAAATGTGTTGACAATGTTGCATATACGCTAGGGGCAACACCGGGCATATCTCTGCTGGTTTTGAAGATATGAGGGGCAAGAAAATATGCAAAGCTCAGTTCATGGTGAAAAAGAAGGTAAAAGTTCAATTTCAATATCACAGTATATGAGTTTCTATTCAAGTTCAATAGTAACCATGGGCATTTCTTTGCCAATTTTGGAGATTTAAAGGCCAGAAAACATGCAAAAAGCAGTTCATCATAAAAAGTAGGTCAAAGATCAATTTAAAGATCACACTTAGATTGCCAGTATATGACTTCCTAAACAAGTTTAATAGTAATTATGGGCGTATCTCTGCCAGTTTTAGAGATAAAAGGGAATGAAAATTTGCAAAGTTCAGTTCACGGTGAAAAGTAGGTCAAAGGTCAATTTGAAGGTCACAGATGGCCAACATATGATTTCCTATTCAAGTTCAATAGTAAGTATGGTATGGGCGTATCTCTGCCAGTTTTGGAAATATAAAGGAAACCTTGGAAAGTGTGGTTCAGGTTAAAAGTAGGTCAAAGGTCGATTATAAAGACACAGTTAGATTTCCAATATATGACTTTCTATTCAAATTTAACAGTAATTATGGGCGTATCTTTGTTTTGAAAGTATAAGCACTGAAAAATTTGCAAAGTTCAGTTCATGGTGAAAATTAGGTCACAGGTCAATTTCGGGGTCACAGCTTGATTGCCAGTATATGGCTTTCTATTCAAGTTTAATAGTAACTATGTGCATATCTAGGCCAGTTTTGGAGATACACTGTATAAAGATCAGAAAATTTGCAAAGTGCAGTTTATCATGAAAAAATAAAGGTCAAAGGTCAATTTAAAGGTCACACAGTATATGACTTCCTATTCAAGTTCCAAGTAACTATGGACCTATCTCTGCCAGTTTTGGAGATAAAAGGGAACAAATTTGCAAATCAAACCTGTTTAGTCCTGTTTCTTGTGTGTGTGTGTGTGCGTGTTTGTTTGGGGGGAGGGTAATTTCTACTGGAACACCAGAGGATTATCTAAATAGAGGGGAAACTTCTACTCTTAAAAATATGCCATATTACTTTGTCAGGTTTCTATAATCATAGAAAATCACCCACGTTAGCTTCGGTAATTTTTACATTGCTACTTTCAAGCCCGGTGAATATGTCTTACCTACCAGTAGAATAACATGGCTTTAACACATAGGAATTAACCAGCATGACTACTGCAATTCTTAGAAAACCTGTCTGTTTTCGAAACTAACATAATGCAAAGTAACTTTAACATGGTATTTTAATTACAGGAAATCAACTGCGTAACAATATCAGTGTTTGTTTGCGTTGTCACGTCAACGCCCAGTATTTTACCTAATAACATAACTTTAAACCCCGCATATTCTTGGTAGATCTTGGAATAACATCTAAAAACTAAAATAATGCAAAGTAACTTTGTTCAAAATGAATATCATTTTCCCATTGCCTCTCTGTTATAAACATGCAAATAAAGAATATGTATACAGTATATACAGATCTATGTGTTCATAGCAAACGATCATAGTGTCTGTAGCACGTTTTCAAAGGTCCACCAATTCCCACCAGAAGTGAAGCGAGATGTTGTCTTTGTGCGTGGTGTACATGGTAGTAATCTCTGGCACCGTCCAGTCCTTTACCTTCAGCGCAGGCAAAGGAGGCAGTCAACACAGAGACTATCCAGTCAATGAGGTAATATTCAAGATCAAACTAGTTCAGGTCGTTTTAAATGCACAGTTTATGTCTTTGTGGTGAAAAATGTGGCAATGAATCTTTCTGGTATTTTCTGTCAACAAGTTTTTGCATTTAGTAAGGGAAGCTATTCGGGATTTTCCTGCTACATCGAATTTTCATTAAAAAAACAATTTCTCTTACTCGCAAAAAAACTGCTCAAACTGTCATTGCACTTGAACGCATTGTTTTATAACAATTCATATTTAATAAGGTGATTATGTTTTGATTGGTTGTCGTATAGATCGCTACGTATTCTAGAAATATTGACATCAGTTATCTTTATTTGAGGGCTTATAAAGTCTAAATTGGAAAAGAGAAGTAACATTTCAAGATATGTTAACAGAAAGACGACCTTGGGACATTTTGAAAGTATTTCTTTAACTATCATTTCCTTAACTCAAGAATAAGTTCAGTAATAATAGCTAACACATAACTTTTTGAAAACATCAAAAAAGTTAAATTAAAAAATAATTAATTATAATGATTATTATTAAGTTTAAGACAATATTTTTCTAACACATCATTCAGATGTTTTAAAACTTTATATTTCTATATGAATACCAATTAACTGTATGTGTAAATATCATATGAATTGTATTTAAGATAAAAATATGATTAATGTCACCTAATGGAGTATATCATAGTAGTTTCTTCACCAGGTTTTGTCATAACATTATATTAATGTCATGTAAATGGTTCTTTTTGTCATTTTACCTCAAACAGTTTTTATAAAATTATCAAACACGTGTTTATAATGCAGGGGCGGATCCAGGATTATTTGAAGGGGGGTCCACGGATGTGAAAATTTTGGGTATTTTAAAGGGTGAACAGTCCCATTTGGTACGGTTTAGAACTATAGTTCAGCTAGTCAAAATTCTAATTTCAAGAGGGGACCAGAAATTAAAGGGGGATAGGGTTCAGGACCCTCATGACCCCCTCTAAATCTGCCACTGTGATGTTAAAAAGATATACATGTTAACACTTCCAAAACTTTTTTGTGTTCGCTGTGATATGGTTCAAGTCCAGCGACAGCAGAAATATGGCGCCAAAGTTCACCCCTTACGGCAATCAATGCTACATTAGACCCTTTTAAACACTCGGTATTCAGTTAACGATTTCGTTATTGCATACAAAACTACTTTAATACACCTTTATTTTTTTCTTCAATACAGACTGATATCAACAACTTGCCTAAATTCTGGACCCGCAAGATGCGCTCCTTTTTCAACTTACTAGATGACGACCTTGACGGCGTGCTAACGCAACATGAATTTCTGGATATAATTTCCAACAGAATGGATCAATACTTTAGTAGAAATGAAGCATCTGTATTTAAAGCCATGTGGCATTCAACTTGGGACTTTTTTTTCGTCACCCGAGAAAAGAATGACAATCTTACTGTGGAGGATGTGATAAAAATGCACTCCAGATACTTTACTGTGCCTCACTTTCCAGAACACGGTGAGGCCTGGTTTCAAGAAGTGTTTAAACTGGTCCTCTCTCATGGCAACCAACTGATCGACTTGTCAGACTACACTGCTTTTCTGCAAAGTTTCGGTGTGGACCCAGAGACAGCTCCAAAATCCTTCAACATCTTTGACATCGATGATGATGGCTACTTGGATGAGAAGGAATACGTAAAAAACGGTTTGGGTTATTTTGCAGATGCAAAGCAGTCCTCAGGGAGATACCTCTGGGGATCATTTCCGCCAAAGAAGGTTGCATAACTCAAGTGTCATATCTTTAAGTTATTGCAGCAGCTTTGGAATGAGAAGTGATTTTATGCTGGCCTTTGGAGGGATAAGGATACCTGAACCTTAACATTTTATTCAGAAATAAAAAAATAAAATAATTCCGAGAAGATTCAAATTTTATGCAAATTTTGTGAGAAATTGTACAAGATACAAGATATTAAACTGTTTTGGCCTGTATTTTAGAGTTTACACTTGAAGTGAATTCTTTTTTTATTTCGAAAATGAATTAATTAGTAGTGTATGGCTGCACTCACAATTACTGGTCCGCAGACTAACACACCCGCGGATCAAATATGGTCGACCCACTTAAGGAGGCTCTCTCATATTTCAGAACCACCATTTCTGCCCTAGCGATTTTGTTGAAAATTGTAAGACAAATTCTTCTCACCATATAAATAAAATATAGAAAAAACTGGGGACATTCCAGCTCGTTTTCGAGAGGAAGTGTCTCGAAAAAAAAAACCCATTTATTACATTGCGTTTTATGGGGATTTTGCCAAAATGGCCATAATTTGGCAGAAAATGCAAAAATAATTTTAAAAACAAGGCAGCAAAGCTGTCAAATGTACAGACAAAAAGCAAAAAAAAAAAGATGCAGAATAAAGGCCATTTTGTCAATTTTGATGCAATAATAAATAATGCTTATAACAGCACAGTCAATAAACTTTAAATTTTAATCATGCACAGCAGGTAACATGGTCAATAAAATTACAGTTTCAGAACCATGACAGTTCACATTCACATAATGAAAATCCCAATATGTGAAAAATGATGACAGTGCATAAAATACTATTACCGTAAACCAGTGTTTGAAAAAAAAAATTAAAAAGAAAACATTACAAAAAATATTCCAATCAGCTGCCATTCAAACTTTTAATCTAGCCGTTTTAACATATGAATAACCCCACTGAGTTTGAGGATAATAATTAAGGCACTGTTATTCATATATATAGCATTAATGCTGGCATTGCACAAAATATTTTTTCTTTTGTACATTTATTTGCAATATTAAACATTTACCTGCATAATTATCACCGTTTCCTAATTATGTGACACTGTTAATTTGGACTTTAACAAATTGTATCTAGTAGAAAGCTTAGCCTATGGGAGTTTACAGGGAAACCTCAACATGTGTGTTTTATGTAATCTCATTTAAAGGCCACTTGAAACTTAATAAGGCAAGTGACTTAATAGCTGAGCACACTAAACATAAAGTGAAAAATTGAATCTGACAAAATGCAATGATATGAGTTTTTTTCCCATTTTTGACAATTAATTACACAATACGCAATATCAGGTTTACCATCATTTTTAAGGTGCATTTTCGGGGCTCATATGATTGAATGTTTTGGTAATAAATACATTAATTTAAATGTATGACTACACATATTAATTGACAAAGTTCAAAGGTAAGAATAGAAAAAAACTACTGGTTTTGTGGACAGGTTGAATTGAAAATCGGACGGGTCAAATTTATGAGCACCTGTGAAAATATACCGATTGACCCCAAAGTCACAAAGATGAAAGATGACCTGAAGGGTAACACCTGCCAATAATATTATAGGTTAGGTCTTTGTAGTTTCTGAATATCAGCGCAAATATTTTTTTTTTTCGTAAAAAACTTCATTTTTTTAAAAACATTGGCCCATTTGACCTTGAAACAAAGGTCAAAGGTCAAATCCAAGGGCATATTTGAAATCTCAACATATGACTTTCGGTCAGCCGTCTGTAGAAATTTTTCCCATAATTCCTTTGGTATGGTAGATAATTAGCATTTAATTTTGCCAATTTTGGACAAGGGTGCATTGCAATGAGCGCCACACCTAGACCCCAGCACCGATGAAGCCCAAATTTTACGTGGAACGAGTTGAGATTATAGGTGACCTAAATCCAAGAGATGGGTATGCAGGTCCTTGTAGTCTAGGAGGTGAAGCAGTAATGGTGACATGGCGGCGGAGCCAGAGGAGCCGGCGGAACATGCGGGTTGAGACCAAAACCATGTGTACCACAAGCGCCTACACTGCTGGTACAATTATAGTTTATTACAGTTTATTATTAACTTACCAGTAGTATGGTTCTCCAGCTGTGAGTAGTTTACCAACAGGAGGAAGACCATCAGGGTCCAGTTTCCCCTCGACTCTCTTATCCCCTGGCTTACAGCCTGGCAACACATTGAACATAGGACATGCACCCAGTGTCAGGAAACTAAATCTCAATAGTTAGCCTTAACTTTACGACCAAGCTGGTATTGCCAAGACTTTCACAAAACAAACCAACCCTACGTTGGATGTAAATTTCTGTTTTTAACATAATATTCATTGTCAGCACATGAAAATACTAAATGAAGAACTTAATATTAGAATTGAATCAAGAATAATTAATAAAAGGCAATTAAGAACATCACATATATAAGGTAAGGAAATCTTACTTACCAAACATAAGAGAAATCCTGCTCTTTTCTCGGCTAATTTTTCGCAAATCCACAAACTACAAAAAAGTAGAAGAAAGATATAAACTCGAAGAACTGTAAACTACAAAGAAAAAAGTTTCATCTTCTGAATCAGCTGTTTTTTTTTTGTTTTTTTTTTGCCATTTGTTACTCATAAATCACATGGACCCACAAAATATACATTCAAGTAAACAGACACATGCACAATGGCAAAGGCAGACCAAAGATATCAAGTAAAGCTGCCCTCTTCTTAAAAAAAGAAAAGAAAAAAAAAAACTACCCATTTTAAGAAAGGTTGACATTAAGGGTATTTTGCATATTTGAGTATGTAAAACAGGTTTCTCCATTTTAAGTGCATCTATTTTCCTTTTGCCCTCAGACAGATAATGGATGAAGATGGGAGGGGGGTGGGTGTTACATCCACCACCTTTTTAAGGGGCACAGGAGGGGGCTGGGGGAAGGGAGGCAGCTCTCACCTGAATACGGCTATATTATAAACTGACTCTATCACTTACCTCATGTTTGTAGACATTTCCATGGGCAAAGCCTCGCTCAAAGGAAGACTTGTTTAAGATCATAGCGTCTTCCATGTCATAACCCTGAAAATATAATATGAATACATCAACCACATGCTTTTTAGTTTCAGGTTGATACTTTAAGCATTCAGTTACATGGAGTAAGAAATACCCTGCAGGCATTGTATTTAAAAACAAATTATATTTCATAAAATTTCAAGAAATAAAGCATGTGGCATGTTATTTAGATTTCGCCTAGAGTCCTGTTGGAGCATCAAAATTCCACATACATATACTTAACCCGATACTTGCTTTTAGAAAAGCTATCACACAGAAATGGACACCAATGTTTATACTTGAACCTAATCCTTAATATATACTGTGCATAGCAAGCAAAAATCTACCCTTATAATGAACAAACACTCACTGTATATGATATCACAGCAACAATTGCATTGGTCCCCATTGGATAGTTATCCATCCCATAATAGTCATACATCTTATTACGAACAATAGGACTTTGGACAGTCTGCAGACGGTATAGTTTGTTATCTGACCGATGCTGAAGGGCGTGGCATGGTGTTGCCATGGTCTGTTTACCCATCTGTAACAAAATTAAAGAAACAAACAAGCATTTTATTCTACTTTGCTGAAGGTGATCCTTTCATGCCAATTTATTAGTTAGGAGCAAGATTTTTTAACATGAACCCTTGCTGATAAGGAAATGAAGTAGTGTTGGGGACTTGTTTAGTAATTAACCTTCATTGTATGGTATTAGTACATTGTATGACAAATCTTTTTGTGATTCAGGAGTACATTGTAAGGTATATGGTTTTCTCGCATAGTCTGGTGTTAAATTCTGCATACATACTGAAAACTATATGTCTATAAGTATGTTTGTAAGCATGTTACTGCATGTAATTTTTTCCGTTTTCTATTGCATATAATGTGAGTGTCACCGAACTGAAACAAGGGATCACCTGACACTGGTAGATGTTCCTGGGACTCTGGTTACAGTCTGAGTATGGTGTAAGGCTGGCAATCACGCTCAGGAAACTACACTCTGACAATTCCTGGTGGGTCGTCAACTGAACAGATAACATGGGGTTATATGTCTAGTCATGGTACAATTGTATTTTCATTTTTAGATTCTTTTATATATAAATTATTTATTTACTGTCTTCAATTTCTTTTTGTGCCTTAAAAACCAAAAGCAGACAATGTTTTACAAAGCTTCCTAAAATAATCGTCTTTGCTCAAATGAGATAGAATGCATCACCAACTGCCTTTTAAATTATCATTTTAATGACACACACTCACAACTTAAGTTTGAGCATCTAATTTATCATATCATCTCAATAATTTTTGTCTTCCTGCTAACTGATCCTGTTAATAATTTATACATTCTGTACATTTCAAAAATAAACTGATCCCTTCTGAACATGCAACTTGGGTCAAATATGACCGAGGCTCATTGGTGACACTGGCCCATTGATGTATCCCAGGAAACACTCACCCCTTCATGTGCCTCCTCCGCAACAATACAAATATTGAGGTAAACCTGTTCAAAGGTTCCTATCAGCTCTATAGCGTCCAGGGCCAGGTTCTTCACAGGGCGCACCATCCTGGCAGGGGTGGAGAATAAATAGAGGCCAGGGTACTGGCTGGCGTGAGGGGTCTTGGGAACCAGGCAGATTTCTAGGACAGGAGGGACCTGCAGATTAAAATGATTGTTATGTTCTACATGTGTCAAAGAAAAATCAGATCAGATAGATCAGGAAAATTTTATATGAAGCAAATATGGTCCAACCATTAAAGAAAGTATACCTTTTAAACAAGACCTAATAACTTTTAAAGAATCAACAGTTTTCCAACAAAAAATCTTGCTTTGCTCGATGTCATAAAATTACTAATGGTCAACCAAATTATTGTCCACCAGTAAGTGTATAATAATTTTTCACACACATTTTTTTTTTACTTTTCCCTCCATGAACTTAAATCTTGTTAAATTTACTACTGTCTATTTATTCATTCCTTGTTTCTACTACAGAAATGTCACATAAAAAATCATCCCGTCAGACCTGCATGCAACCATTAATTTCAGCAGGAGGGGTGGGTGAGGGGTTCCCCTTTTAAAAACATGGACTTTTTTTCTTACCCTGTCCTTAAGAAGATAGCATTGAAATTTTGATTCAGAGCAATTAACCTTCTTAGGTCAAAGGGTGGTTCTTTCAATGGGCCTGCCTGTGCGTTCATTGTAGAACACAATACCCTCACCTTGTTAATTCCCTTCACTTTCATCATCCGGAGCTTCACGGCAACATCCTGTGCAGCATTAGCATGTATCCAGCCAAGGATACGGCCATCTAGCATCACTCGGTAACAGTCTGCCATGTTGCCAGGGGCGGGGCCATCAATGGGGGTCATGCCCAGGGAACATAGCAGTTTTGGAAGTCCAACAGTAGAGAACACTTTGGTAACAACCTGATTGAGTTTACAGAAAAAAAACACTGAATTTAGAAATTGGAGAACTTCAGTTGGAAATGTAGCAAAGATAACCTGGTCAGTGTTATATCAAAATACATAAATTTTAATATTTTATGGTTTTATGTAAAACTGCAATTTTAAGAGCATAATATTATCAGGTAACACAAAAAAGGCAACACAAAAAAAAATAATTTTAATTTTTCTCCATCTGTGATTGCTCGTTTACTATAAAATATTCTGACATGTAACCAAGGTGGCACTGACCTGGCATGTGGCAGTCATGTGATTCATCAGACCGCACGGAGCTCCATCTGGTGTGTGAACTGGGCACAAGAAACCTTGAACAAGAGAGTTATACAGACAGGCTCAGTGAATAGAACTTAAAATGTGTCAGTATGGTTCTTCCCCCCTCTTCTCCCCCTTTCTTTCTTAGAAGGAAACACTCTCACAGCCAGAAACTCCCATGTCCTCAATAATGCCACTCTAAGGCAAAATGATCTCCATTTCACTTTCAAAAATAAGTACCCTTACAGAAGCTGCTTCATAAGAGAGAGAGAGAGAGAGAGGGAGAGAGAGAGAGAGAGAGAGAGAGAGAGAGAAAGCTCCTTCATCATTTATTCAAACAAATCTTATTTTCACATACTGCTGATGGAGAAAAATTTGCATGTCTACAGGCAACACACACACAACATTAATCCCTTTCTTTCCAAACTTGATGCCAAACTTACCCCAGGCCTCAGGTAGCAGTTTCCTGACTGCAGTTGTTCTCATCTGAGCAAAGAACGCACCTCTGTGGATGCAGCGGAAATGAGAAATATAGCGAAAGAAGTTGAGCTTGTCCGCAACAACTGTTAGACCAGCCGCCTGAAATATCAATAAATGATGGGTTTATTTATTTACTAATAATTTTTTTCATTAGTCTGTGCTGCTTATACCTGTTACTGTTATGATGTAATGAATACTTTTGTACAATACAACACAATTCATCACAATAAGATATGCTGGCATCATTTTTAACTTCACATTTTACCCCCATTTTATTCTATACAAATATGCACAATTGCATACTGCAAATTACTCGAAAATAATTTAGTATTTAAATTCCACATTTTCTTCCACCCTAAAGTAATGGATATAGGGCCCCCCCCCCTGATCCTGTCTCCCAACCCATTTCACAAACAAAAACTCTGGTCATTGCCAAAAGAGAGAACAAGGCAGCAAAGCTGTCAAATGTACAGACAAAAAACAGGAAATAACGATCCACAAAATAGGCTACTGTCAATTCTGATGCAAAAGTACATTATGTTAAACTGCAAATTCAACATCAAATTTTAATTATGCTCAACAGGTAATACCAATGTAAGTAAAATGTGTAACAAGTTCACAATTTGAAAATGTATAACTTCCAGAAAAAGAAGCCAATTAGACCGCTTTTCCAACTCAGGCTGCATTTTGGTCCTGTATTTCTTTTATGAAAGTTTGGCAATCATAAGTAACATGATTTTCCCATAATGGTCATCATGGCAGCAGCACCCAAAATTGTGTTTTCTTCTATTCTGATGACATATTACATAATGCTTNAAAAATTATTCTGAAGTCCACAAAGACCTGCAAAATGCCAGTGTTAACATTAATGATAGGTTTTATAAATAGTGCATTATGTTTCTGAAATAAACCCTTTAATGCTGTCCAATATTTGAGTCTTCATTTAGATATTTTTAAAAAATAGACAAATATTTTCTTTTGGTGTGAAAAAGAAGAAACTGCAAGTTGACACAACATAAAACAGCAAAAGTTTCACCAGAACAACAATAATACATCACTGTTGTATAGCCCAAGGAGGGCTACATATCTAACACTCATTTTAAGACCAGATCATATCATAATGCCATACACACTTAAGGCACACTTGAAGCAATAGTTATTAACGTTTTAGATAAATGTGCCCACTCTTGAAGCATTATAATTAGAATTACAAAGATAAAGAACCGTGCATGTGTTTAATGGATTTAAATAATAAGTGTGGTTAAATAGCAAAGATGAATTACACAGTCTTTCATGGTAATCATAACTTTGTATGCTAATTACGACTTTAGGCAGAAGCAAGGCAAGTAAAATTCACTGATTTAACAAAGGAGGATACTGAACACTTAAATACATATAATGACTCTCTACAAGTCACAAACAAAGGTGAATTCCACACACATAATAAATAAATTATATTTGTATTTCTCTGTCTTAAAGAGGGTACATTCTTATATCATAAAAGTCAATCAGACAGATGCAAGTGTTCCTGTAATTGTCTAAGGTGATCATTATATGCAGATTAATTATGTAGATATTATCAATCATATTAATTGGACCACTGTATGGAGGTATAAGAAGACTGATATAATATGAAGATAGAAGTCAGACAGATAAAAAGACTATAATCTAAAGCGTCTGAGGTAAAGAAAAGTATGTCACCACGTACCAAAAACCATTAAGAGATAAAGAGCCCCTTAAAACAGGTTTAATGGACCAGGTAAAACACTCCATCTTAATGGCAACCCCACAGGGCCCCTGCACATGGATTACCCATCAACTGACTTTGATTATACATATCTAGGTCCTTTGAAAAGACTGCAGGATTTTGGGAGTGTATATACATGAGAGTTTCTATTTATCTTGGATCATCCACCAAGGGTTAAAAATGTTTTTTTTTTCAGGATGGCCCTTAGAAACAATGCTATGGTAATAACTACAATAATTTCAAGGTAATTTAAATTATCTAATCTCAGGGTTAAAGGAATGCAAAACTTAAACATTATTTTTTTATCATATTCAAATTTCAAGATATTCTCAGCACACTTACATCATTACTGTAGCAAGTGGGATTTTTTATGCAGAAAAAGAAAGGAAATACAAACATTTTATATTTCTTTTTTCTGCATATTTTAGTTTCAAAATATATAAAGCACCTATCACTTTCAGCAGTGCAACACTATGAAAAATCTTTGAAATCTGTGAGCAATCAGAGTCACGCCATGTTTTTATATCAATAAGGCAAACCTAATTATTATCAGCAGGATTTAATATTTTTTTCTCTCCTGGACAGGTCAAATAGTGTGACCAACAGTCATGAACTCATACTTAATATATCTCCACCTCAACACTTTTCTGTATCCATTATGACAAACAGCAGAATTGGCCAGGTAACTATGATTTAGGCCCTAAATGTGTATACTGGAGTAAGGAGTTCCACCTGCTAAAAATAAAATTCCATTTTGCATTAAGAAACCATGCAGGAGAAGAGATAATGCTGTATTGTAGTCTACATTAAAATAAAGAGGTGGGGGGGGGGGGGGGCGGAGTCTTAATGAGTAAAAACAACCGATTTGTATTCGATCCTACATGAAGCAAATCTTTGTGGCCTCACTCAAATTTGCATAACATATCTCACAGTTATTGTTCAAGTTGACAAAAAACTGTTTAACATATTATCTCCCCCCATCAAATCTTTATTCATTAACAAAGTGTGTGACATGCAAGGCAATGCATGCTGGGATGCCTGATGCCCCTCCCCCCTCCACATCACACATACACACAGACACAGTGGAGGCACTGTGACACCAGTGTAATACAAGGAGGAGGGCATTGCACACGTGGAACCAGCTCCATCTTAAACCACTACAGGTAAGTACAACTTTGTGGATATTTTTTTCTGGTTGAATGTCTGCAATTTTAAGTTGGCTTGCCTTAGCTGGATTACTTTTATAATGTATGTACTAAATTAAGGGTTAACTAAAGTTGTTGCTGAGTTTGTGTATTCTTATGTAAATCAACTTTAAAGAACCTGCAAAGGTACATAGGCATGTCTGATAACTGTATGTGAAAAGTTTGGCATTTTGCTTCAATTAAGTGTATTAACAGAGGAATATCAACACTGAGTGAGGTGTCACTAAACTAGTAGACTTAATTTCATTTTACTTTAACGCACAGGGTGAATATTCTGCAAATGATATACACATTAAACATTATGATATATGGAAGCACCTGTACCTTAACAGTTATGCACCCCTCAGCAACTTTGATCTTGCTGCACTACATGTTTCTGTGACATTTTACTGCAAAATGATTAACATTTGGACAACAGCATTTATAGCATATAAATTAGCTTTAATATCATTATTTGTAAGCTGGGGAGGTATTGCTCTACACACTTATAGCCAACAATTTCAATTTGTGTGTGTGTGGGGGGGGGGGGGGGGGGGCTGGAA